CTTCATGGTTTTTGTGATAGCTCTAAAGAAGTTTACTGTGCGGTTGTCTACCTACGGCTTGTCTATCAGGGCGCGGTCCATGTATGTTTTTTAGCTTCAAAAACTAAGGTAGCTCCCTTAAAAACACTCACGATTCCTCGGTTAGAACTCTTGGGGTGCTTACTCCTTAGCAAATTAATTCGCGAAGTACTCATAGGAGTTGAAAACCGAATTAATTTGCATGATATATTCTGTTGGACTGATTCCGAGGTTGCTCTTTGTTGGGTTAATGGGAAGGAGAAGAGTTGGGAACCTTGGATTGAGAATAGGGTTGTGGCTATAAGGAAAGTGGTGGATCGTGAGAAGTGGCATTTTGTTAGGGGTGAGGTAAATCCTGCTGATATCCCTACTCGACTGTCTTCAAATTTAAAAGATTCTTTTTCAGGCTGTTGGTTTAGGGGACCTTTGATGTTGTGGTCACAGGAGTTGGAAGTTGACAGGGTAAAAGTTAGTTGTGGTAACGAAAACTCTTTGGTTGGGAGGGTTGATGTAGAAGTTCCTACTGAAGTTGTCAACTTCAGTAACACGACAGAGAAGGGCACGCCTAACAACAGCAGATGTTCAATTAGTGCTGTCATTGATTGTACTCGTTACAGTTCATTAAAGAAACTTGTTCTGGTTACTGGGTATGTGATACGTTTCATAAAGAACGTACGGAAACGAGTAAAGAAACAAGACGATCTGGTTTGCGAGGACGTATTGACTGTCAGTGAATATAACGCAGCCTCACACATGTGGATAAAGGACGAGCAGTTATTAATGAAAGAACAAGATAATTGTGCCAACCTCTGTGCTTCACTTCGCCTATTTGAAGACAAAGATGAACTGTTACGACTAAAGGGACGGTTTGCTAATACGTCATTAAAGCATGAAGAACAACACCCAGTTATACTTCGAAGCAAGAACGATAGTTATTTCACTCGGTTAGTTATTTTGGATGCTCATGAAGCGACGTTACATCATGGCGTGGAAACAACATTGGCACATATTCGGCGCAAATTCTGGATTGTAAAAGGACGGAAAAGCGTAAAGGAAGTTTTAAGGAAATGTGTTACGTGTACAAGATATCAGGGGCGACCGGTACGTGCTCCTGCGAGCCCTGATTTACCGCATTTTAGAGTGGATCACTTGGCGCATGCTTTCCAATTTACTGGTCTGGATTTCGCAGGACCTTTATTTGTGAAGGATGGGCTGGGAAACAATAAATCGTATATTTTGTTGCTGACGTGTGCTTCGAGCCGTGCTATCCATTTGGAACTTGTTCCGGACATGTCAGTTCACGGTTTTCTGCGGGGATTCAAACGATTCATGGCGCGAAGAGGAATTCCAGATTTAGTTATAAACGACAATTTCAAAACATTTAAATCAGCGGAGGTAAAGAAATTCATGACACTGCAAAGTATTCAACAGTATTTTATTTTACCTGCTTCGCCATGGTGGGGCGGGTTTTACGAGCGTTTAGTCCGATCGGTAAAGGGATGCTTGAAGAAAACTCTTGGTAAAGCATTCATAACGTTTGAGGAACTTCAAACTATATTATGTGAGATAGAGGTCGCAATCAACAACCGACCGTTAGCTTACGTGAGCGAGGACGATTTAGACGAGGCGTTAACGCCATTTCATCTTATGCATGGTCGCAGCATGTCTACGGGAAAGAAGGTTCTAACTACGGACGTTGTGTCTGTTATGAGTCTCGAACATTGCAAGAAACGGTTATTCCACTTACGAAAGTTATTGAAAGATTTATGGTCGAGATTTCGTAGTAATTATCTAAATGAACTTCGTCAGATGAACATTTACCGCAAGGAGAAAGGTGGAAAGGCTAGAATGATCGAACTCGGAGATGTAGTGCTGATCAAAGACGACGACCCTACACCGCGGACGCAATGGAGAATGGGCAAGGTTTTGAATCTGGTGAAAGGTCGTGATGAGAAAGTACGTGGCGCTAAACTGAAGGTGCTTTCTAAAACTGGAAAGCAGACATACGTGTTTAGACCAATTCAAAGATTGATTCCGTTCGAAATTGTAGAAACATCAAGAAACGATCGTAGAGATGATAATTCCGAAGGACAATTGAATGAAACGATTGTAGAACTGCCGGAGATCGAGAACAGTGATGAAAACAGGAAACAACGCAATGATGGACGAGTTAGGAGAAAAGCAGCGATCGAAGGGCAGAACATGCGAAGAGCTCGTGAACAATATTATTAAGTTAGAATTTTATTAACGCTAGCACTTAACAAACTTTTAATCTTTGGTTGGGAGGATGTAGAAATTAATATTTTTAGGTCAGTTTCGTACTTCATGTTAGCAAATTAGCAGTATTGCATTTTGATTGGTCATCGCAAATCATGTGAGTGATCACATGACAGGACAATGAACGTTTGAACAATAACTCAGTGTTGTATGTCAGAGAGAGACGCACGGGTGTGCAAATTTATGTCGCACATAATTTTAAATAAAACTTTATAAAAATCAAGAGAAGGTCTTGCTTTTTAAACCATGAAATGAGAAGACTCGTATGTTTTCTATTTCTTAAACAGGGAACTTAAACATTAAGTTAAACCTATAGTCCAAATACATTTTCAAACTATTCAAATGATGAAAGTTATTGTTGTTTTTTTAAAAAAAAAACGCGTGAAAGCGTTTATTAGCGAGTGGGAAACGGCTTAAACATGGCCGCCATCTATTCAAATGGGGGTAACCGCTAGAATATTCTTGGCTTCAATTTTACTAAAAGAGATGCGCTATCTAGTGTATATAAGATATCTATGGTTGAACTTCTGTAACAGAAACATGGTCAAAGTGAAATTGTTCATCTACTGGATAAATCGTGGTACGTTTTAGGGGGTTGGTCAACTGAAGTTTATGTTCATTCGCAATTTTCTCAGCTGCAAGGGCGGTAGACGAGCCTACGGAGGTAAAATAATGATTGGATATTCATCTGCCAAAAATGATGTATCCTTTGCGTAAGTAAGCGTGTCTCTATCCTTTGAAGGGATATACAATTGTTAATAATTTTCCATAAAGAACAAGAGTTATTCTTAAATTATGCAGACTTAACTAGCTTACGAGGGAAGGCAGCTCAGTAGAAACACCAGAGGCAGCAAACAACTTTATCATGCAGGAGTATGTGTAAAGATATAATCATATCTCGCGAGGCGGTTAGCTCAGCAAGTTGCTCTCGTGTACGGATAGTTTTCGTGAGGATTTGACCTCTCGAGGCCTTGAGGAAAATATCTATCGTGTTTGATATTTTTCGCCTCGCGAGGAAAATATCTCAGCGTCTGCGGATGTTGTGAGCTAAGTGCTGAGCTGTTTGAATTAGCCAATGACAAACCATGGTTTCTTCATGTGACTTGGAACAAAATAGAGGAAAATGCAAATGATTTTTATGTTGTTAATGAGTAGTTTTCCCAACGTGTGCGGTGAAAATACATAGCTGAGTTAGCTGTCTCGCGAGGCGGTTAGCTCAGCAAGTTAGTTGCTTTCGTGTGCGGCGGGCTATATTTGAGATTGTCAAGTCACGAAATGATGAATATATATGGCACATATAATGCGCTATCTTTCCGACCTGCACAATACAAGTATATATACAACGATACTGTATATGGCAACGAATACTCATTGTTATCAATATGTGCATGTATTCTTTGTTTTCTGCCACTTTTTCAAGCAAGTAAAAACTGCCAATTCTTAACAATTCACGTCCTGTAGTGTACTTAGCAAGAATGAACGATAAATCACGCATCCATTTAAACAGTGGCACTACACAGTATATAGTAGCTTCCCCGAGCAAAGCATAGGTAGCCCAGACATACTGTGCGATTTAAATTTAAATACTTGGCACACTTAATTACCTCCTGCGGTTTCGACCTCAAAATAATAATGTTAACGATTAGCTCGAAAATATTCTGAATTTTTACACTAAAATGTATCACTAATCAATACTTATTGTTGAAGGAAATATACTTTATAGGTACATAGGCCATAGCATGCATCAACAAAAATAAATATTTTATACCTTTAGTATATATATAGAAGCACTTGAAATCCAGCTTTAAAATCAACTGACATTCACGGCGATTTTAAAACTGGATTTCAAGTGCTTCTACTAAAGGTATAAACTATTTATTTTTGCTGATGCATGCTATGTACCTAAGTATATTTCCTTCAACGATAAGTATTGATTAGTGATACATTTTAGTGTAAAAATTCAGAATATTTTTGAGCTAATCGTTAACTTTATTATTTTGAGGTCGAAACCGCAGGAGGTACAGTTAAGTATGCCAAGCATTTAAATTTAACTCGCACAGGGACAACCTTAATTGAAATAGCTGTATATATTTATTCATTGTTTCGTGCTGTTCCTAGTAATATCTCCTGTGGTTTTCGAGTGCTAATAATAGTGAATATGCAAAACAGCATTTTCATTCAAAATTATGTAAAAGAGAATAATACTTTAGCTTGCAGCGAATTGCTGCCTTGGCGCACGGTAGGTTCAATTGTAAAATTGAAATGAAGCGGGTTCGAAGTTTGAACGTTGTAATTAAGTTTACACTGATATGTTTCGTACTCGGTTCGTTTTACTTCCTATATAACTACAATGATCATAACGGAATGGAAAAAGTTCAGCACCCATTACCTACAACAAACCAACTTGATGTGTTGTTCAAAATTATTGCTGAACATTCTGGCGACCAAGAAGCTATTGTTAACATAATGGAGAACGGCAAATACTCCTGGCCAGGGGAGAACTTCACGTTCGATTACCAAGTACATCCAACATCTTTTGAAGCGCTTAATAGAGTCAAAAGTATATCCGAAAGAACATCAAAGCGAAATAAAAAATCACAGTGGGAAGGCTACCTTCGAGTCCATATGTTTGGTGAAGAATTATCAAAACAAATGCGGATTTTTATGGGGGTTGGCAATTCTCCTGGATTTGAGAAAATGAAAATAGTGGCGCCACGTTTTGTAAATGGTGAATCGCGTAGCAGAGGACCTACCTCATTTGATGATGTATATAATCTTGACGAACTTAACCAAGTGCTTGCTGAAAATGACTACCCACCTGTTGTTTTAGACAAGGAATATGATGACGTGTGCAAAGATGTGAAGCCTATTTATGTTGTCGCCTTTATTCCACCCAGAAGTACTCCACAATATACGGGTTATACAGACAATATCAGAGATCAGCTTTATGGAAAAGATATAAAACCGGGCAAGAAGTATCCTGAACGATGGATTGATTGCGAATTTAATAAGAAAGCACTCCGTCCTCTCTCTGTTAACTTAACCGAGCGTAAAATGATATGCACAACATATCGTTTCAATATATCAACTTTGAGACAGACAGTTCTTAAAAATGCAAAATGTATCGAAGTACCGATTTGGTCAGATCATGGGATGTACAAAAGGCCTTCAAGACCAGATAATTTGAGTCCAGACGAAATATTTCACTATGTTCTTAACCCTAGTGACATGCTAGTGAACGAGGTGAACGCGTTTACCGAACAATATCTTGGAAGACCATACGTGGCTATCCATATTCGAGCTAATCACATCAATGTTCTTCCAACCACAACTAATCGTTGTTTTAATGTGGCAATGAGAGTTGTAGAAGCGCTAAAAGAGAAGAGAGGAGTAAAGTCAGTCTACATTTCCACTGATATGAATAAATACGGTGGTAAGGGTTCTTATGATCCTGGGCACGAGGAATACTTCGCTGCGATTAGCGGAGCCATTCGATACAAACCGAACGCGACAGGGCATTTACGAGACATTTCGCGAAGCAGTATATCGATCACGAATCTCTTACTTGTAAGGAGAAGTGATCATCTAATTGCGATAGGAGCTGGAAGTTTTCATGGATTCGTCATGGGTCAATTTCTCAGGGAACACTTTGGAAAGGACCCGAAAATGTGGTCTATGATTAGAATGTGCGAAAACGCAAGGAGTGGTGGGATGACTAGAGACCCTAATGCCGACTATTCTAAATACATTGAGGATTGAACGATTTGAATCGCGGGTTTTAAACACACGATCAATGACATTGAATGGTGGACACTTAAGGCCGTTTCATTAACGTTCGCTTTGCCCGCGCGGGCGAAGCGTTCATTGTTTTTGACACTCTTCACGCCCTCGTGAGCAGATTTTCAAAGCCCGCTCCGCCCGCGCGGGCAAAGCGACTGCAATGGAAAATTGCCTTTAGATTGGAATGCTATTTTTGTAAACGATTCCAAAAATAACATGCAAATTCCGCCCTCCCCCATTATACAATGTTGTTAATTGCGTGTGCTGGGACCCAATACGGCACAAAACGACTTGAAATATATATACCAGGGTGTCCCCCGAAAAACGAAAACTATTGAAATCACTTATTGTTAAAGTTGAATGCCCTACCAAAATGTTGAACGTAATGATGCGTAAAATATTGACAAGGTGCATGTATTAAAATTTAGTTAAGAACATCTCCTTGTAAAGTGCGCGATTTTCTGCTCTTGGGAATTTAAAGCAGCTTCTTAAATAGTTTCTTTATGCATAAAATTTACTTGTGTCAATCGTTTATGCACTCGTGGAAACCAACAGAGTGCTAAGGCATTCAAATTCTAACAATTAAATTGTTATTGGTGATTTCATATATATATATATATATATACAGGGTGTATCAAAATAAACGCAATTCATCTTTTGTGCTTAATAACTTTCGAAATACTATTTCTAGTTGAACGCTTTTAGGCTTACTTCAAAGCCTGTTCTTTTCTTTTTCAAACAAACTATTATCCTTGTCTCCAATGCTAGTAATGATTGCACAGGAAAAGATTTAGTAAAACCTATCATTTTTAGTTGCTGTTTAATTATGCAAGTTTACTATGTTATTGTTTAGTCGGTTTAAATGTTAGAATTTTCTTCTTTAAACTTTAATGTTGTCGTCACTACATCTGAAAACCACGTAAGAACAAATTAAAAGTATTTTAAAAGAGACCAGGTTGTTTGAAAATCCTAAACGAATGCTAAAAATCTCGTCAAAACATTCTGGTGTCTGAGCCAGAGTGTCATCGAATTGCGATGTAATGTAAACAGAAATTATAGCAAGCTGATGTCAGTCAGCTTAGATGGTCCAAGCCAAAATTATATCGCATTTGAAGTTTCAAACTGAGTTAAAAATAGTGGAAGAAAAGCCGTAATTATACTTATTGTTACAATCCATTTAATAAAATGCAACATTCGTTTGTTTCAATGAAAGAATCAGTTATTTTTATGAGAACGGTTTGTTATTCCATCTCAATTTTTTTAATCTCCAATCGCAATAACGTAAAGTATTATTACCCGCGAACCAATGAGTCAAATTTAAGAAACAACCCACTGTTAGAAAGCTGAATGGCTACGCTTTAAAATGAATGTAAACTTTAACGTTTAATTCGTCTATTATTTGTTTAGCAATTTACATTTCAGTCGAGGATTGCGTTTTTTTTTATACACCCTGTATATATATATATATATATATATATATATATATATATATATATATATATATATATATATATATATATATATATGTATGTATGTATGTATATATGTATGTATGTATGTATATATGTATGTATATATATATGTATGTATATATATATATATATATATATATATATATATAATGAATAGTCTTTCAGCATCGTATATAGACTTATAATAATCTTATAAAACCAAGCTCGTTCTGTGAAATATATGTATATACAGCTATTTCAATTAAGGTTGTCCCCCGAGCAAAGCGGTAAAGTCGAATACGAGCGCAAAAGGCTGCTGGGAATCGTTAACAAATTAATGAATTTTCAAAGCAATTCCCAGCAGCCCTTCGCGCTCGTATTCGACTTTTCCGCTTTGCTCGTGGACAACCTTAATTGAAATAACTGTATACTAAGTATATTTCTGTCTTAGTCCCATTTTCGTTATCTATTCCATATATATAATTTTGATGATTATTAGCCTGTAAACAAGCAATAAATACTGTACTGTAGAACTACTAGCTGTGTTCTGTTCGTATGATATGAACAATTACTAAGGCTTGATAATTCTTCATGCATGCGTAACCCGATTTCAATAATTGTTTTATGTGTAGTCAGTACTGGTGATGTGAATATTTCGCGTGTAATTTTGGATAAAACATGCACGAGTGAGATTTTAAAGAGCATCACTAGGATAGCACGAGTTCGAAGGATGGGCGAGTGCTATTTGAGGTCTTTCAAAACTCACGAGCGGGTGCTTGTTTTATCCAAATTTCACGAGAAACCATCCAATTAATTACTATAACTAGAAATACATGCATGCAACAACCCCTCGTCCACAATTTCAAAACACAACCTCGCAAGCCAGGCTCTCTACTTCCGCTTCCCTCTCAAACACGGTGTCTACTTCCGCTTCCCTCTCAAACACGGTGATATTCCCCGGAGGGGTAGCGGGCCATCAGCTTTAGGGTTAGGGGTTAGGGGTGGGGTTAGAGGTTAGGGGGTTAGGGGTTAGGGTTAGGATTAGGGTTTGGATTAGGATTAAAGTTTGGATTAATCGTATACCCATTACAACCCAATACTTTATTGCATACAATGGCATTACAACGCCAATAGATTATTGGTTACAACGTGCGGAACGGCTGGACAACCAACACGATCATTGTTTTTTATTCTTGTGCTAAACGGCAAAAAGAAATTAATGTTTTACACTTTTAACTATATAGAGCTACCGATTTCTAAAATATATAAAGTGGGTATGTTGTTTTGCATTCTATAGGCTTTATTTTAATGTAAAATTCAACACGAAACGCTTCGTAAAACGCTTTTAAATGTTCATTGAAATTAACTGCTTTTTTCCGATAAATTCTTCAAACTTTTATACTCGTACTTTCAAATGAAATAAATTTAAATCGTACGGGTCGCTCAGGAATATAATTTTCTCTCTTTTTTTGAGCTTTTATAAAAAAACGAAACAAGCTAATTCACATACAATGGAAGGCTTTCAAAGCTGTACATCTTCAAGGCCTTCATCGAAAAAATGAACAGCAAATTCATACATAAAAAGTAAAAACAAACTTATAGTACCCTATACTACAGGATTTTGCATACTTTGTTTTTGTTTCTTTAAAATTTGAAGAAGGTGATTTATACAACATATTGTGGTAAACGATTTCATGCAAGGTTTAATTAAACAAGACGCTCTACGAAGCGTTAACTCGCTGGGGCTATACAACTACGCACATTACTGTACAATGTACATGTTACATACAGTACACAGCTTTTTCTCGAGCTAAGCGGAAAAGTCGAACACGAGCGCGAAAGGCTTAATAACACAGTACTAAAATGCGGTAGGCCCTACAAGTAAAGTTATATTTAGTACGCTACATTCTTCTTCAAAACTGTCAGCTGCCAGTTGGTCTACTGATTAAACTTCGCTTTAAAACGATCATAATAAAATATTTGGGGGTTTTTGGGCTCAAAATACTCTATCAAAATGAAGCGAGAAGTGAGATGAATCCACTGGTATACGGCCGAAAACTAGAGAAAACCAATGATACCAAAGTTATCAAGGGTCAAACGTACTGCATTTTTTTATAATTAGTTTAATAATTTTGAGCGATTGGTAACAATACAATTTCGCTTGGCTTTCAAAGACAAAGGCCATAAATCGCTAGAATACTGTTGTTTAGTAATACATTTGACATTCGTAATTAGTACAATTTCTTACGCTGAATCGAACGGTGGTATTTTATCCTTATTGCGCCATTATGCATTACAAATACAAGGACAAACCTGTGGACAAACGTAGACCAACAATACATACTGCGAGCGATTTTTCAACAATACAATTTCGCTTCATTTTGAAAGGCCATAAATCGCTAGAATACGCCAATACGGGTGTTTAGTAATACACTTGACATCCGTAAGTACAATTTCTTACGCTGAATCGAACGGTGTCGCTTTCTTCTCAAAATATAAAGCAGCGCAGTCAAACGTATAAACTTTTATAAACTTGCGAATTACGAAGGTTGCGGTTTCCATGCGAAATTCCTTGTAAAATTGTTCAATTTTCCCGAATTTTCCTCAAAATGGAGGGCTATGTATGGATAATTTGGGTAAAATTGGCAGGAGCCTTATGGATAATTGGGGGGAAATTAGGCAGCTCATTAATATTCTATTTTGTGGCTATCAACGACAATCGGAGATCTGACATCCACCAAAAATGCGTGCCGAAACCTATACTCGTCTGGGCACAGTGCCCCAGCGAGTAATTAATTAATTTTACAATCATAGAAAAGTATAACAATGATTGAAGGTATATGGTCAACAGGACATGCGTCCCATGTGAAGGCCAACGTAATACAAAACAATAAGTAGACATACATTAAAGACAAGGAATAGAACACTATTTACATAATTATATAAAAAATTAATAGGTTAGATTATGAGCAACATTAACAGCTTATTCTGCTTATAAGTTGAAAGAACGGCATGTACAGCAGTAGGTTTTCCAAGTGCGCATTCTGTTAACATCGAAAGAAGAGTCTAATTGAGAAGGGTAGTGAATATGGAGCTGGAGCTTAAAGGAAGAAACAGACGAACTGTTACGAATGATCGGAGAAAGATTGTTCCATAGAAAGACAATATGGTTAAAAAAATGAGTTTCTAGAAAAAGAGGTTTTGCACGGATTGACTTGAAGCAAGTTGTCCTTGCTTGAACGGTCATGCTTTATTAATCATAATCTTCGCGAACAGCTATATTTTTGAGATCAGTGAGATGACCACCCATGCATGCATGGGCCCGCGATTATTGATGAACTTTAGACTTCGGTAATGCTTTCTTTTTCCGTGTGTATAAATAGCCGAGCGGAATTAGGAACCTCGCCACGGGCTTCGCCCTAAACGCGCTCCGCGCGTGGCTCGGGGATAATCCACATGAAAATGTTCCAGACAATAGACCTTACCGATTATTCTCTTTACGCAATGGCCTCGTTTTAATGTCAAATATTTACTCCTGTTTTGTGCTTAGTCAGGTTGAAAATTACTTTGTTATTTAGCCTAAGAACAGCAGGAAACAAATTCGTCCAGGAAAACATAGGAATATAATCTTTATCTGCCCCTGACATGCTAAAATAAGTTAACATGGAAACGAGGCCATTGGGTAAAAGAGAATAATCGGTAAGGTCTATTGTAGTTTTAACTATAACGTTTTACAGCGAACCGTCCACTGACAAAGTTTTCCTGTTTTGTTATACAACATTTTACAACGCTAACGGCGGGAACATTTTACTCAACTATGTAAGTTTTGTTAGTCTGGTTCAAAGAAAAGTCTTTCGATAAAAGGCTTATATATTTTCAACCCGAACTCAAGTTTTACTATATATAGCGCGGCCGCCATGTCTGTTTTGTTTTGAAGCAATCTGTGACCGTTACAGTTGAGCGCTGCTTAAGCTGATTGGTTGATTTTAGATCCCATTGTTTTTCCACCAATCATATTGGTTTGTTACAGATTTTTGCACGGTTGTTACAGGATTTTGCACTGCTGTTGGGAATAACAGCACTGAAATTAACCAATCACAGTCGAGTAATATTTTTATGTATTTTATTATTTACCTAAAATATACTAAAAGACACTTGATAGTTGATATAACTAGATTCAATTCATCGAAATAATGATCAGTTCCCTTTTCTATTTGCGGATCGGACATTCTTTCCTTTTTCTTTCGCAAGTCTGTACGTTACGATTTTCAAAACACTTCCTGGCTGTTGTAGTTAATATTTCTTCTTTTATATTTTAAAATCTGCTTGAAGGCAGCGTATTTCAACATTTCGTATTCATATTTCTACATCATGACGTCATAATGATCTTATGAATTTTTCGTATCAGCAATACGACCTCATCATGCTGATAATTTTTATATCAGGATTATGACGTCACTCCATTGAATATTATATATGTCAAAATTCCATATTTGGTCAGCTCATTCTTGAATTGATATGACGATTTCACAGTTGGTTGTTAGCCAATGAGAAACCACGAATCTTACATTAATAATAGATACAATGCCCATACCTCTTAATAATCCACTATGCCTCAATGTGCTCTAATGCGCCCAGCCAATAGCTACAAAATGGAATATTTAATGAGCAGCCGCTCCTGCCAATTTTCACCCAAACTATCCATAAGGCTCCTATCAACTTTTACCCAAATTATCCATAAAATAGAAATACAAGTTATGGCCAACCTATCCGAGCAACGATTGGCCCACATACCCCACCATTCCACTTCACCTTATGTGATTATTTTGGTCCCTACAAGGTAAAAAGATAGGACAAACAAGACTGCAAAGCATTACGGTGTAATTTTCACATGCCTTAATACGCGAGCAGTACATCTAGAATTAGCAGTTGATTGTTCAACCATGGACTTTCTACAAGTGTTAAGAAGGTTTTTTTGCGATACGAGGTTATCCGAAGTGCATGATCTGTGATTATATACGGTACACAACTAGTCTGAGCAGTAGCTTAACTGATGGTCAAAGGATTCGACGCAAAGAAGCTACAAGGATTTTCAGCAGACAGAAGTATGGAATGGAGATTCATAACACCTGGAGCTCGACATCAAAATGGCTGCGCTGAAGCCTTCGATAAAAGTGTAAAGATTGCTTTGAAAAAGGCCATTGGTGAAGCTATACTCGCGCCTTTTGAACTTTATACTTGCCTATTTGAAGTCGCAATATATTGACGCTTATACTTGCCTATTTGAAGTCGCGTTAACCAACGTCCAATCGGAAGAGTCGACCCAGGCGACGCCGACGGTGCATACATTTGCCCGAACAATATGTTACTCGGAAGAACCTCGCCACAATTCACAAGTACCACAAGGTACGTTTAAAGAAACTAAAGATCCTCGCAAGCGTGTACAATTGTGCAGAAAACAGTTGATTCGCAAGAGACTCAGGAAGACAGGAAGTAACAATTGCATAAGATTTAAAAGGAGATTTTTTTGTATGT